GCTTAAAAAAAGAAAGAGAAATATAAATTTCATGTTGGATGCTACTGTTCCTTGGCTTTGCTCAATTGCCAGAATATTCTCAATTGAGAGATGTAACATTAAGTGCTATTTGAATTTACTTTTTTAAGCCGTTTTTAAATTGAAGTATTGATATAATTAATTTACAATGTTGTGTTAGCTTCAGGTGTTCAGCAAAGTGATTCAGTTATATATGCATATATATATAATCTTTTTCAGATCATTTTCCATTGTAGGCTATTATAAGACATAGAATACAGTTTCGTGTGCTATACAATAGGTCCTTTTTGTCTATTTTCTATATAGTGGTGTACATATATTAACTCCAGTTTCCTAATATATCTCCCTCCCACCCTGCTGCCCCCTCGGGTAACCATAAGATTGTGTTCCATGTCTGTGAGTTGATTTCTGTTTTGTAAATAAATTCATTTATATCATTTTTAGATTCCATGAAAGTGATATCATATATTTGTCTTTCTCTGTCTGACTTCACTTATTATGATAATCTCCAAGTCCATCCATGTTGTTGCAAATGGCATCTTTTCATTCTTTTTATGGCTGAGTAATATTCTATTTATATATGTACCATATCTTTATTCATTTATTCATCTGTTGACAGACATTTAGGTGGCTCCCATGTCTTGGCTATTGTAAATAGTGCTGCAGTGAACAATGAGGTCACGTGTCTTTTGAATTAGAGCACACACACACACACGTCACGCTGATGGAGCTCAGTTCTCACTAGTCGCGTGAGATCTTCAAAATGAGGAGTTTTCTCCCCTTCTGAGACATGGCCTTGGGAAGAAGGGTCCGCCTCATGTCTGTGGCTGCCCTTTTTGTGCAGAGAGCAGCTGGCTATGCCACTTCTGCTGGCACAGAAGTACAAGGAGGTCTGGTTGGTGCTGGCCGACTCTAGGGACAGGGGGAAATGCTCCTTCTTGCTTTGGGAGACACTGTATCCCTCTGTAATCCCCCACCCCCACCCCAGCCAGTGTCGTGGACACCATTTGAATAATGGATCAGCCTTAGCCCCTGCTCTAGGTCTTGCCAGTACCAGGACATTCTCAAGTGGTTCATATGCTGAGAACATTCAAGGACCATCTTGTTTCCTGTGTGTATAATACAGTCTCTTGGTTTCTGGGTGACTGCTGCATCCACCAGTCCTGTTGGAGAGGCAGACACACACAGCAAAGATAAGGTTTAGTGAGTAGAGTAACCTGGGTCTGAGAAGAAAAGGGATGACTTGGAGCTGGGACTCTGCAAACCCTACAGAGGTTTCAGCCAGTTTCTAACTCACCTGATGCCAGGAGACAAAGAATCATGCAGAGTTTGGGGCTCGTGGCAGGGTCAGGGCATGGAGGACTGTCCCTGCTAAATGCTCTGATCCACAGGTCTGAGAGAGGGAGCCGGGGGCTCTTCTCCAAAAGCCAGACAGGCCTGCCTGGGATGTCACCCCTCACCCCTGCAGATTCTCCCAGGTTTCCTTGTGACTTGGCTTAGGAACATCAGTTCCTCCTGGCTTAGATGTTGCTGCAGGCGAGATGGGTGGGACTGCAACGTGCTGAGTTTTGGATGTATGGATTCAGCCCCTGGGTCCCTGGTATTCCTCTGAGATAGTTGCTCCTCTGTCTGCACCTGCCCCTTGCCTGACATCAAAGCTGCTTTGCCCAAACCCTTCAACTGCTGATCTCATTAAGGTTTAGAGGGGCCTCCCACTTCTTCCATAGTTGTTAGGTAGCCTGGAAATAACCGAAAACTTCAACAGATGCCTAGTGCTGAATCCCTGCCTGTGTTTCTTAACACTTTCGCTCCCAGGTTTCTCTCCCAGACCCTGCCCAGAGCCCCTCAGATCTCAGTGGCATCACAGTGCCACCTTGTGGCCAATAACTGAAGCTTCACCATTGTTTCTTCTGCAGTGGTCCAAGGGGTGTTGGGAAACGTCTGTGTGTTCACATTTTATACTCAATTTCCTTCAATTCTAATCCCAACACTAATTCTAATCCTAACTGTTCCTTTGATTTATCACACTTATAGGCAATATTCATTCTACTTAGCCTCTATCTCATTATCTGGCAGTTACATTCCAACTGAGACCTTCCTTCTTAAAACTGTCTTCTGAAAGGGAGAGGAATAGAATGGGAGAAATGAAAGAAAACGTTTTTTAAAGGTAAGAAAAACGCAGAAGTTGAAGTGTAAGGAGATTCTTTTATCTTCATTACTAAAGATAAACAAAACTGCTTAAAAAAAAAAAAAAGACAATCAGTGTTAACTCCAAAATATAGATCAGCAAAGGACTGGGAAGATAAGGAAACTGCCTTCAAGATGGGGTCAATTGTGTCTGAATAAAAAGTATAATTGGAATGTAAGAACGAAAACGAACATCTTATAAAGCCATAAGCCATCACGGAGGAACAGTATCTCATGGGGAGATAAGGATGGGTGAAACTGAGATCAGTCTCCACTAAATGATTAACTTGAACACGGTGCCAATTTGAGCAGCAGGGAGGGAGCAGATGGTTCTGGAAGAAACAGTGGAGTTGGGAGATATGAAAACAGCAGTACAAAATAGTATAAGGAAGCTGAATCTGCCAGGTTCATGTGGCAAAGATGGGAAAAATGGGGGGAAAAAATTGAAGACAAAAATCTGGAAAGGGAGTCCTTCAAATGGGGTTGCTAGAGCAGGGAATTCTCGTGTGTATCTGGCCTTCCTTGCTCCCCAGAGCCAGGAAAGCTTTGCTGATACCACAATTCAAAGACCAGGAGAGCTCCCTTCCAAGGGTGCTCATGCTCTTGGGAAAGAACCTTGGTGTCCTAAGTGACCACAGTTTCTAATAAGTGGATTTGGGGCGACTGTCATTCCCTTTACCCGCTATGCAAGGCTCAGGGTGCCCCTATCATGGCCGAGGCTATGCCATTCAATCCCAGTCTTACAGCTGGTTTACCTCTTGAAAAGTGAAAGTGTTAATAGCTCAGTCCTGACCCACTCTTTGGGACTCCAAGGACTGTAGCCTGCCAGGCTCCACTGTCCATGGGATTCTTCAGGCATGAATACTGGAGTGGGTTGCCATTCCCTTCTCCAGGGGATCTTCTCAAGACAGGGATCGAATCCAGGTCTCCTGCATTACAGATGGGTTCTTTACTATCTGACCCACCAGAGTTATCTGGTTATCTCTTTGAACTCCCAGAAACCATGACCTATAATCACATCCACTCTGACCAGGGCTTTAGAGCTCATAGATTCATCTGTGGGTGAAGATGGATAGAAGGTATTATTTACAATATAGGTATTTATATTTATAACCAATATGTATAACAATATATAATATAGCAAACACATAAAAAGGAATAGGGGCATTAGAAAATATTCTGTCTTCTTGAGTTAAAGAACTCAGGGAAATTATTTCAAATCAAAAGCCTAGGGTGTGAATTACAACAACCTCTAGAGAACAGATTTATTTATGGAATCAGGATAAAACTGGAGAGGTTGTGAAAGTATGCTTTAGTCTAACTGTCAGGACTGCAGCAGTGAAAACATGAAAACAAAATACAGAAAGTGGGTTGCTTAAATGAGGCAAAGGAAATAAAGTCTTACTTTTTCAATGCTGTATTTGTCAACTAACTGGCACAGAAGTAGTAAGGCTTTTACTTCCAACAGGAAGATAGCTAGTTGTGAAGATGCTACATTGTGGAAAACTTGCAATAAAACAGGGACGTGTGTGCTCAGTCACTTCCATCGTGTCCGACTCTATGCGACACTATGGACTGTACCCTGCCAGACTCCTCTGGCCGTGAGATTCTCCAGGCAAGAATACTGGAGTGGGTTGCAAGCCCTCCTCCAGGGGATCTTCCCAACCAAGGGATCAAACCGAAGCCTCTTAAGTCTCCTGCATTGGCAGTCGGGTTCATTATTGCTAGTGCCACCTGTGACAGGGATGGAAGAGACTTTAGAAGAAAGAATATGAGGTAGTCGAAAACTTCCCAGTTGCCAGCAACAACCGAGGGGAACTCACTACGAACACAGGCAGCTAAAGTCGCATGTGTGGGCAAACACCTGCAGGTCCCATAGAAGACTGTGCTGTCCGGGACTTTGGGTCCGTGCCCTAGAATACTGAGCTGGCCCTGGGGCTGCTAGGACACAATGAGCCCTGATGATTTCTATCCGCCAACATTTACGGCTGCAGTTATCTCAGGAGTTCATCTATGGTCTCTTTCTATGCAAAGAACAGCTGAGTCCAAATCTACCTCTTTTTGTTGGGGTGTGTGTGTGCTCAGCTGTGCCTACTCTTTGCAACCTCATGGACTGTAGCCCATCAGATTCCCCTGCCCAAGGAATTTTCCAGGCAAGAATACTGGAGTGGGTAGCCATTCTCTTCTCCAGGGGATCTTCCTGACCCAGGGTTGGAACTGGGGTCTTCTGCATTGCACAGAAATTCTTTACCACTAGCGCCACATATTGGTGAGTGGAAAGCAAAGAACAACCTATTTGGAGTCTCTGGGAGCTGGAAGGAGAGAGAAGGATGAAGTTTGTGAACAGGAAGGAGGTGACTGTGCCACGCTGTGGTTGGGCTGCTGGCACAGAGATACACGGCCGAGTCCTCAGGCTCTGCTGGCTCGATCTTCAGATAGGAGTAGGTGCTCTTAGGTCTCTCAGCAGAAAACCGATTTTTAGGCAGCCCTGATTCGTCTAGTGCTTGCTCGTTTTGAAAGTAAGCCAAAAACTCCGGGCCCTGCCCCAGCGTCTGTCGGTACCAATAAAGGGAAATGTGTCCAGAAATTGGATCACACCTAAGATTCACAGTCTGGCCCCTCCCTGTGACCCTGTGGCTGGGGGACTGGGACACTACCCCAGCTCCTGTGTGACCTGTGGGGACAGAAGTGGGGGACAGTCAGCTAGAGCCTACTTGTAATTATCTCTCTCTCTCTCTCTCTCTCTCTCTCACATACACACACACACACACTGGACCTGCTTGCTGAGGACTCACCCACCCCCAGGAGACAGAGGGTCGCCCAGCAGAGGAGCCTGGAGCCCATGGCAGGGACAGAGCAGCAATGGGAAGTTCACCAGCTCAGGGTCCTTGTGAGCATGAGCGGGGGTGGGGGGGGTGGGCTGTCACCTGTCCCCATAGGGCAGCTCCCATGGTGACATCACTGCCTCTGTCAATGCCCATGACTTCAGGGACATGTAATTTATATTGGGTTGGTCAAAACATTCATTCGAGATTTTCCATAAAATGTTACGGGAAAACCCAAACGAACGTATTGGCCAGCCCAATATTATAACATACATAGATGACTAATTTAAATATTTATAATCTCCCCTTTTTTGGGCTTCCCCAGAGTCTCAGCAGTAAAGAATCTGCCAGGGATGCAGGAGCCCCAGGAAATGTGGCTTAGATCCCTGGTTCAGAAAGATCCCCTGGAGGACGGCATGGCAACCCCTTCCAATATTCTTGCCTGGAGAATCCCTTAGACAGAGGAGCCCGGTGGGCTACAGTCCATAGGGTTGCAAAGAGTTGGACACAACTGAAGCGACTTAGCACGCACGCGCGCAAGCTCCCCTTTTAACACAAACAATGTGTGGGTTTTAGGGCTGCCTTCCCACAGGGCTCATATGTTGTTGCATCTCTACATTCATCTTCTCATCCTCCATCTCCCCTTGCCTACAGGGCACTTTCACTCAGAGGGTCAACAGCACCTCCAATGTCAGATGTGTGCGTGTTAAGTTGCTTCAGTTGTGTCTGACCTTTTGCGACCCTATTCTCCCAGGCTCCTCCCTCCACGGGATTTTCCAGGCACGAATACTGGAGTGGGCTGCCATTCCCTTCTCCAGGGTATCTTCTCTACACAGGGATCGAACCTGCGTCTCAAGTCTCCTGCATTGTCAGGTGGGTTCTTTACCATTAGTCCCATCTGGGAAGCCCCCAAAACCAGATACCAGGTGGTGAATTCATTGTCTTACCTGCACATCACAGTCTCCCATGAGCACCCCTATTTCTGACCTACTCCAGCACCCCCGCCACATGGTCCAATAGTCATACAGGCTCCATAGTATTCATTTCTTAGGCAAGGGTGGGCAATGGAGGGGTAGACCCGATTTGGCCCAAGAAGACTGATGAAGTCACTGACATATTCAGAGACACAAGGGATGAAATGATGCCCCAGGAAGAGACCTGGGCTGGAAGCTCTATTCCCTTCTGTGGGCCAAAAACCAATTGCCCTCTCTGTGTTCCTCAATCTCCATGCAGCTTCATGTCTCCACAGCCCTCAGCAGAGCCTCACATTCATCTAAGTCACCACTCATTAAAACACAGGTTCCTCAGAGCTCCTTTACAGAAGACCCCATTTCACTGACCTTTTAAAACACTGGTGTATAATATATCAATAAAGTAATAACTCTGTCTTTCTGGAAACCTAAGAGGCTATGTTGCAAAAGTAATGTAGTGCTCACTTTCACGGCTATCAGAGCATCTGCTTGTTCAAAAGCCATTTGTTCATAGGCTAATGGTCATTGCAAACATCCTCTCTTTCAGGGGGAGGAGAGAGCAGGACCAGAGATGAGTGGGGGGTGGTGACTAAGGCTGTGGAGTCCAGGAGGGGGCGCTCTGTAGCTCTGTGTCTTTACTGACCTGGATGCAGGAAGGTCCTCAGAGGTGATGTTATATCCCACTGTCTCCACTGGTCTTGTTACACTAATCAGCTGTCCCAGTGCCCATACAGCTCCATCATCACAGGAGTCAAGGCGGAGACACACACAGGAGACAGAGCCCTGCTTCTGAGTAGACAAAGAGCACATCTAGGAGAAAAAAGTTCATAATCTAGGACTCAAAAGTCAGAAGAAAGACATCCCACTTGGGCTCACAGTTCATCTGGGAAACAGGTGTACCTGGATGTGCCCGACCACGCAGTGGGACCTTAAATGGGATCACAGGTAGGAGTTAATCACTAGGAAAGGCAGGATCCCTCCATAGGGCACAGGATGTATTTCTGGTGTCCCTGAGATGGGAAAGGACATGACCCAGGTGAGGGAGGAGCAGCGTGACTGGGGAAGAGAGGACGGGGAGCTGAGGCCAGAGAGATGAAGAGTGGGAAGACCCTGCCCCCCAGGGAAACATGGGCAAGATCAGAAACCACATGAAAGTCAGGCTGGTGAAGAAGTTTCAGAAAGACAGCAGTGAAGTGCCCAGGGAGAGACAAGAGGGAATAGATGTATTTGATTTCCCACAAGCTTTCCTCCTGGAGGTCTCAGGCTCAGGTGATGACCACGAGTCGGAGCTAAAGAAGCATCTTCCTGGCTCACAGGGAGGATACAGAGGAAAGACAGAGATGGACGGTGGACACGTGTCCGCAAGGCCTGGAGTGAGGTCCGGGCCAGCACAGACCACACACCCAGGGTCACGCTGCAGGCACGTGGCAGCAAAGTCCAGAGGCTCCCAGACCTAGGAGCCTACAAGGGCCTCCCCCATCTTTTTGCACAGAGAGGAGGTGACCCTGCAGCACTGTGGAGTACCCGCTGGCGCAGAAGTACACAGATGTCTGGGAGGGGTTGGCGGACTCCAGCGTGAGAGGGAAGTTCTCTGCCCTGGATCTGGAGACGCTGTAGCCCTCGGGCACATCTCCTTGATAAGTGGTGTCAGTGGCAGATGAATAATGAATCAGCCTCAGCCCGTGTCCCAGGTCTCGTCGGTACCAGTACATGCTGTTGTGGTACATATCCTGAGTACATTTCAGTGTTGTCCTCTGTCCTGTCCTCACGACCTGGAATCTGGGGTCCTGGGTGACACCCGCGTGGACCGCCCCTGTGGAGAAGGAGGACCGATGCTGCAGTCACAGCGGACATGCTTCGTGCTGGCACCCCCAAGGGGACCCTGCCCCCAGGGCTCACCTGCCTGCAGGAGACAGAAGACCACACAGCCCAGGAGGCAGGGGCTCATGTTGGGGGCGGGGCAGGCGGAGGGCCCTGTGGTCTGAGTGTGGATGAGAGGGGAGAGGGGCTCTGCAGGGAGTCCTTCTGAGATGTCAGTGTCCCTTCCAGGCCCCAGAGCCGACCTGCCACTCAGGGGGCCACGCCCCTTCCCCCAGAGGCTCAAATCAGAAATGAACCTGAGTGAACTGTTCACAACACGGAGACCCATCCAGCTCAATGGACATAAGCCTCACACTGTAACCTTTCTGTAAACAGCTTGCAACTTGATGTACATTTTCTACAGATAGATAATTCTTCATTCATACGTATATTACTTTTACCTGCATATTTCTGCAGTGTTGAATCTCAGGAAAATCTTTGGGGCTTCCTGCTGCCCTTTATCACTCATGAATCCCAAATACACCTTCAGGTGTCTAAGTAAGTGTTAGTGTTAGTTGCTCAGTCATGTCTGACTCTTTGTGACCCCATGGACTGTAGCCCACCAGGCCCCTCTGTCCATGGGATTCTCCAAGCAAGAATACTGCAGGGGGTTGCTATTTCCTCCTCCAGGGGATCTTCCAGACCCAGGGACCGAACCCAAGTCTCTTACATCTCCCTCATTGGCAGGCGGAATCTTGACCACTAGCTCCACCTGGGAAAGTGTCCGTTTCTACTATCGTTAATGAATCACAATCCTGATCCTGTTCCTGTCCCCTGAAAGAGAACATGGCTACCCACTCCTCTAGTCTTGCCTGGAGAATCCCATGGACAGAGGAACCTGACTGGCTAGAGTCCGTGGGGTCACAAAGAGTCGAACACTACTGAGCCCTCACACACACGAAAGCAGATGACATGTTGGCACAAAGGAACTTGTATGTGGGAGGGATGCAGGGGGACGTGGCCGACTCCAGGTTGAATGAAAAGGGCTCTGATTTTATGTGAGATGTGCATTCCGTGGGAATGCTTTCTTGGGAAGCGGGGATTGCATTAATGTGTAACAAATATCATAGAGCTCCTCAAAGTCTTATCTTGTTGTGCATCATTCCACACATAGCAGGACCCCACACATGCTGCAGAGCTCTGCTCTCTGCAGATTCTCAATGGTATTTGAAAGCAGGGACCCTAAAACTTACGTAGCTATTCCTGGTTACAGGACTGTGGACCTGCGGTGACCTCCTGATGTGCTGGTTTTCCCAGAGCATGACCACATGTCACAGGTGTGGTCACAGGTCTGGGTGACGCATCATTCCTGGCAGAGGTCATTTGGGGGCATGGTGAGGACCACAAATGATAAGGTCAGACTAGAGTAGGATTCCTTGCTCTAACAGTTAAGAAATATGAGATCTGGGCAGGTCACTTCCCCCTTAGATAAATAAGCAGACAAAAATAATACTTATCTTGCAATATCATTGTGAGCATTAAAACATATCAGGAAAGAATGTCTAGGAAAGGCTGTCCACTCTACCAGCACCTGGGTCTCATTGGCTGGCAGTCGATGCCCAGCAACCACTTCCTGAGCTGGGGCAGGAGTGTTTTTGTACCAGAGACACCTGATCATGCAGGGCTGTGTATTCCCTGCTGGCACAGAGATACAGAGCTGAGTCTGTCAGCTCCAAGGAGCTCAGGTTCATCTGAGATCGAGAATCACCGAACTGTTCACCTGAGAATTGATCTGACATGTTTCCTTTTGTATGCACTTTCCCATCATAATACTGAACAAGGAACTGGGGGCCCTGGCCCAGGGCCTGTTAGTACCAGGATACATAGCGGTGTCCAGATTCAGGGGAACATCTCAGCGTTACTTGCTGTTTTCTTGATTTGATCAGATATTTGGGGGTCTGGGTGACTTCAGAATCTACCAGGCCTGTTGGGGAGGAGACAAGAAAGCTGAGGGCAGAGCACAGGGAAGCCTCCTGCTGAAGCCCTCATCACCGGGCTTCTATCTCAGGGAGGCAAAGACATCTCAGAAGCTCCCACACTGTGTGCAGGCCTCACGTATTCCCAGGAGGCAGGGAGTCAAACAGCAGAGGAGCCTGGAGCCCATGGCAGCATCAGGAGCCCAAGACTGCTGCTGGCTAGGGGCGGAGCTCCTGGGCTGAGTGGTATAAAGTGCTGACCCTCCTGCTTCCCTGATTGGAGCATTGCCTATGAGGTCACTGCTCTGTGTCTCTGCAGGCTGCCCTTGTCCCCTGGACCCCTTGGGAGAACCCAGGGCTGGCTCCTCTATGCCATTCCCTGTCCTGCACAGCCCCTCAGCAAAGAGTGGGTGTGAGGTGAGTTTCATCCCCTGGTCCATGTGCCCACAACATGTCTTGTTCTGCTCTGTCTGACCCGTCTGATGCTCACCACCAAGCCCTCACCAAATACCCCAGCCTCTCACCCTCCCCTTCCCATGTTGCTCCAGGAGATGCCCCCTGGGCACATCCTGAAGCTCCAGGTAGGTGCCCACTCCCCTGGGCAGTGAGGAGTCTGTGCTGGCTCCACGTGTCCCAGGACCACTCAGGGAACTCAAACCTGCTCCCAGATGCAGGCATGTAGCCAAGGTTCCCTTAAGCTGCCCTCCCATGGTGACCCTCAAGTCCTCCCAAAACACCATGCTTACCATGGAAACACAGTGCCTCCAAGCGGCCAAAGGTCTACAGTCTCATGGATTAGCAGCGTCTGTTTAAAGCAAGGGTACAAAAATCCCACACCCTGAGGACACACACACACACCTATTCTACTGCCTTCCTAGCCTGGCTAATTAGGGTTGATTTTCAAATCCACTCTTATCCTCTGGAGGTGGAATACTGTATGATCTGACCGTTTTACTAAGAAGGAAATAGTTGCTGCATCACTACAAAGATGGTAGGTAGTTAGCTAAAGATGGAAATATATCATCATAAAATAAATACTCAGAGGATCTCAAGTGAGTCTGCAAACATGTCTTCATAACTACTTCTGATTAATCAGAGACATATATTTTGAGATTTCCTATTTAAATTAAGCATTATAAAATTCCATGTAATACTTTTTATAAAGAAGTTTTATAAATGTGGACTCAATTATTTCTGCAGTTATAAAATCATGATATAATGGGGGAAATACAGGATATATTGTGACGTTCAGAAGATTCTGATGACGGCACCAGGTGGTGCCAACGTGCCCTAGGTTATGAGAGATGCTAAGGATGTTGGAGGGCGGGGGTTGCGTGTCAAGAACACACAAAGACAGTCTGTTCTCCTTCGGATGGACTCAAGTGAATTTTTGGATGATTTATAATAAACTAAAGCTTGTTTCTTTTTCATGAGTCCATATATGTTGCTCAAAACAGACCACATGGGGAGGCCACTTTAAAAGCCTCCCTGTGACATGGGAAGGGACCTGACCCAGATGAGGGAGGAGCAGTGTGGCTGTGGTAGAGAGGGCCAGGGAGCTGATGCAGGGAGGTGGGGAGAGGAATGTCCTGTCTCCCTGGGAAAGGTGGGCAAGAGCTGAGACCAGCTGAGAGCCAGGCTGGGGGAGAACCTCCAGAAAGACAGAAACAGCTGCCTGAGGTGAGACAAGGGTGCCTAGTGTATCTAATTTACCAACAACCTTCCTCCTAGGTCTCAGGCTCAGGTGATGAGTAGGAGTCTGAGCTGGGGAAGCATCTCCTGGTTCACAAGGAGGATACAGAGGAAAGACTGAGACCGATGGAGGACACATGGCTTCCAGGCCGGGGAGTGAGGCTGAGGCCCAACCTAGTCCACACACCCAGGGTCACGCTGCAGGCATGGGGCTAACAAAGCCCTGAGGCTCCAGGGGTAGGGCCCTGCACGAAGTCCCCTGTCTTTTTGCACAGAGAGGAGGTGGCCGTGAAGCGCCGTGGAGTTACTGCTGGCGCAGAAGTACACAGATGTCTGGGAGCGGTTGGCAGACTTCAGTGTGAGAGGGAAGTTCTCTGTTCTTGGTCTGGAGACGCTGTACCCGTCGGGCACATCTCCTTTCTCCGTGTACGGAGTCCCAGCTGAGTAATGGATCAGCCTCAGCCCGTGTCCTGGGTCTTGTCGGTACCAGTACATAGAGTTATGACCCAGATCCTGAGTACAATTAAGTGTTGCGCTCTGTCCTGTCCTCACGACCTGGAATCTGCAGTCCTGGGTGACACCAGCGTGGACCGCCCCTTGGGAGAAGGAGGACCGATGCTGCAGTCACAGTGGACATGATTCGTGCTGGCAGCCCCAAGGGGACCCTGCCCCCAGGACTCACCTGCCTGCAGAAGACAGAAGACCACACAGCCCAGGAGGCAGGGGCTCATGGCGGGGTTGGGGCAGGCGGAGGGCCCTGTGGTCTGAGTGTGGATGAGAGGGGAGAGGGGCTCTCCAGGGAGTCCTTCTGAGATGAATCTGTCCCTGCCAGGCCCCAGAGCCAACCTGTCACTCAGGGGGCCACGCCCCTTCCCCCAGAGGCTCAAATCTGAAATGAACCTGAGTGAACTGTTCACAACAGTGAGACCCATCCAACTCAACGGACATAAGCCTCACACATTGCTGTAACCTTTCTGTGAAAGTTAAAGATTTTTTCCGTAAATGTTAAAGTGATTAAATGATTTGTACGTTCTAGTCTAGAGATACGTCTTCATTAACATGTATATTACTTTTATTTATCTACATATTGCTGGAGTTTTGAATCCTGGGGAATCCTTCTGGTGTCCTCCTGCCCTTTATGATTTGTGTCCCAATAGCAATTCAAGGCTCTGTTTCCGCAAAATTGACTCCATTCCACAGTCCTGAGAATGTCCCTCCACCTACCATGTTTCTCCAGGTTTCTGCTCCCAACCTCATTGCAGGCTCATTAACATTTGAGGAATTCTTTGGTCTATTTCTAATCAAATTCACTGACAGACGGTCCACCGGTCAAATGCAGGTACAGCCCCTCCATGTTCCCACGTGTTTCCCGTGTTGGGGGGAAGGGAGCCAGCATAGCCCCCTCAGGCCTGTGACCCACCTTTCTGGGTGGAGAGAAGCTGTCTGCCCAGCACAGGATGACGTTTTGCCACAAGGAATACAGATGTAGGAGGGACGTGGAGGGAGGTGCAGATGCCAGGGTAAACGAAAAAGGCTCTGTTTTCATTTGAGACATTCGTCCCATGGGAATACCTCCTTGTGAAGTGTGGCTGCTATTTACTGAGTAGCAATTCATATCATAGAGCCCACAATTGTGTCTTGTTACACACAACAAAATGCGTATATGTAATTTGTTTGTACAGAGATAGTTTCATGAGCAAAGGGACCACAGGTTTAGAGAACAGACTTGAGCCGGAATGCTAGCTGTAACACTGATGAAGTATGAGATCTGGGCAACTCTCGACTCCTCAGATGTATAATCAGTTAAAACAATACTTGTCTTGATGACTTTAGTGAGCATTAAAACATACCAAGAAGTGAATGTCTGGGAAAGTCTATCACTCTACCAGAGACTGGGTTTGGCAGGCTGGCAGCTGACACCCTGCCCACCACTTCCTGAGCTGGGGCAGGAGTGTTTTTGTACCAGAGGCACCTGATCATGCAGGGCTGTGTCTTGGCTGCTGGCACAGAGATACAGGGCTGAGTCCGTCAGCTCCAAGGGGGTCAAACTCAACTCAGAGCGAGAGTCACTGAACTGTTCTCCTGAGAATCTATCCGACATGTCTCCTTTTTGATACTCTAACCCCATCATAATACTGAACGAGGAACCGCGGGCCCTTGCCCAGGGCCTGTTGGTACCAGTTCACAGAGCGGTGTCCAGATTCAGGGGAACATCTCAGAGTCGCTTGCTGCTTTGTTGATTTGATCAGGTACTTGGGGGTCTGGGTGACTTCAGAATCCAGCAGGCCTGTTGGGGAGGAGACAAGGAAGCTGAGGGCAGAGCATAGGGAAGCCTCCTGCTGCAGCCCTCATCGCCAGGCTTCTATCTCAGGGAGGCAAAGGCATCTCAGAAGCTCCCCCGATGTGTCCAGGACTCACCTGCTCCCAGGAGGCAGAGAGTCACACAGCAGAGGAGCCTGGCAGCCATGGCAGCATCAGGAACCCAAGACTGCTACTGGCTGGGGGCGGGGCTCCTGGGGTGAGTGGTGTAAGTGCTGACCCTCCCGCTTCCCTGATTGGACCATTGCCTATGATGTCACTGCTCTGTGTCCCTGCAGGCTGTTTCCTGATCCACTGGACCCCTGGCCAGGTCCCATGGTGGGCTCCTCTATGCCCTTCCCTGTCCTGCACAGCCCCTCGGCAAAGGGTGGGTGTGAGGTGAGCACTGTCCCCATATGCCCATAACATGGCTTTCTCTTCTCTTCCTGTCCCTGCCTGATACTCCTCACCCAGCCCTCACTAGCCACACTAATCCATCACCCCACCATTCCCCATGCTGCTCCAGGAGACGACCCCCTGGGCACATCCTGAGGTGCAAGGCTTGTCCCCACTCGCCTGGGCAGTGAGGTGTCTGGGCTGGGTCCATGTGTCTGGACCACTCAGGGAACTCAAACCTGTTTTCTGATGCAGGCATGTAGCCAAGGTTCCCCTAAGCTGCCCTCCCCAGGGTGACTCTCAACCCCTCCCAGGGCACCCAGCTTACCATGGACCCACAGGGCCTCCTAGTGGCCAATTGTTTCATGGATCTGTGCCTTTCATCTAAAACAAGAATACAAATTCCCCACACTCCACACTTTCAACCCTACACACACACACACACACACACACCCGTCATCTGCTGCCTTCCCAGCCTGCATGAATTAAGGTTGATCCTCAAGTCTAGTCTTAGCCTATCGAGGTAAAACACTGTATGATCAGATATTTCTACTAAGAAGAAACAATTGCTGCTCCACTACAATGACAGTGTTCTTGCCTGGAGAATCCCAGGAATGGGGTCGCACAGAGTCAGACACAACTGAAGTGACCTAGCAGTACAATGACAGTAGTTAGCTAAAATCGAGTAATACGGGCAGAAGAATAAGCACTCTCGTGATCCCAAATGAAGCCAGCCTGAACACCTGCATTCCAGACCTCCTTCTGATTAATCAGATCCATATATTTCCAGATTTCATATTTAAATTACCCATTACCAAAATCTAGCCAGTGCATTTTATTAAGAGGCTTTACGTGTATTAACCTATTTATTTCCTATGAATTTGTAAAATCTTGATATAATAAGATAGCATGGAGGAAATATTTTGAGTTGAGAAGATTTCTTTGAGGGAAATGATAGAAACCTGTTGAGGCAAATTGAGATGCTAAGAAAGAGGGGCAGGGAGGGAGAACACACACCCCCAACCTGTCTATACTCCTGCAAATGACTCCCGATGGACTTTGAATGGTTTCTAATTAAGTGAGGTTGTTTTCTCCTTGTTGACTGCAAGAGCTTTCTCAAACACATCTTGGGCATGGTTACAGAGTTCCCTGTGTCATTGGAAGGGCCATGACCCAGTTGAGGGGAGAGCAGTGTGTCTGGAGCAGAGAGGGCAGGGGAGCTGAGGTCAAGACATTAAAGGAGGAAAGACCCACCCCTCTAATGGGCAAGAGCAGGCAGCACTTGAGAGCTAGGCTGGGGAGAAACCTCCAGAGAGAGAGCAATGAGGTGCTAGGGAGAGACAAGTGGGTCTAGATGTATCTGATTTACCAATATTCTTTCCTCCTGGGGTTCTTAGGCTGATGAGTAACAGTCAGAACTAGTCAGAACTGGATGCTTTCCGAACTGCATGCAGGGTGGATGCAGAGGAAAGACAGAGATAAATAGTGGATACGTGTCTCCGAGTCCTGGGGTCAGATCCAGGCCTGTTCAGGTCGCACATCCAGGTTGACACAACAGGCATGTGGCTAACAAAGCCCCGAGGCTCCCAGTGCTAGAAGCCTGCACGAGGCCCCCTGTCTTTCTGCACAGAGAGGAGGTGGCCGGGCAGGGCCATGGAGTAACTGCTGGCGCACAAGTACACGGATGTCTGGGAACAGCTGGCAGACTCCCGCGTGAAAGGGAAGTTCTCTGTGCTTGGTCTGGAGACGCTGTACCCGTCGGGCACATCTCCTGGCTCGCCATTGGGCGCACCAGCTGAGTAATAGATCAGCGTAGGCCCGTGTCCCAGGTCTTGTCGGTACCAGCACATAGAGTTACGACCCAGAACCTGAGTACATTAAGTAGATGTATGGATGTGAGAGTTGGACTATAAAGAAAGCTGAGCACCGCTGGAGAAGACTCTCGAAAGTCCCTTGGACTTCAAGGAAATCCAAACAATCCATCCTAAAGAAATCAGTCCTGAATATTCATTGGAAGGACTGATGCTGAAGCTGAAACTCCAATACTTTGGCCACCTGATGCAGAGAACTGACTCATTTGAAATGACTCAGATGTTGGGCAAAATTGTAGGCTGGAAGAGAAGGGGACAACAGAGGATGAGATGGTTGGGTGGTATCACCAACTCGATGGACATGTGTTTGAGTAAATTCCGGGAGGTGGTGATGGACAGGATAGTCTGACGTTCTGCAACCCATGGGGTTGAAAAACGTCAGACACGACTCTGCGACTGAGCTGAACTGAACAGTTCCCAACAGGGAGACCTATCCAGCTCAATGAACATAAGCCTTACAATTTGTTGGAAACTTTCCGTAAAACTGTTCACAACTTTATCTACACTTTATTCCAGAAATAGCTCTTCATTAATACATATATTCAGTTTATTGATCTCTAGTTTATTATTTCTGTAGTTTTGAATCCCAGGGAAATTCCTCAGGGCTTCCTGCTGCCCTTTAGGACTCACATGTCCCAAATCATCCCTCATGTTTCTACCTTGTTTAATTGACAACAGTCCTGTTCATGTCCTGCCACCCACAACGATTCTGGACCAGTTTCTCCAACCTTAGGGCAGGCTCATCAACACTTGAGGAATCCTTGGGCTCTCTTTCTTATTAATTCACCGACTGACAAGTTGCCTGTCAAATACAGGCTCAGCGCCGTCATGTTCACCTGAGCACGTGCTTCTGGTGTCTGACGGGTGGGGGAGCAGCGGGCCGAACCACCTCAGGCCTGTGGCCCACCTTGCTTTGAGGAGAGAAGCTGGCTGCCCAGCACCACGGATGACATGTTGGCACAAAGGAGTCCAGACGTGGAGGGATGTCGGGGGAGACGGCTGACCCCAGAGCAAAGGAAAGATGCTCCAATTCTACGTGAGACAAACATTGCATGGGAGTACTTCCTTGTGAAGCGTGGCAGCCATTCAGTAACTGACATCCTAGAGCCTAGACTCTATCACATCACACAACCTCACGTTTAGAAGGACCCAGTACTAGCTGCCATGCTCTGCTGCAGTGATTTTCAACTTCTCAATGATTTCTGAACCTGAATATCATGCACCTGGTCGTGAGCGGGTGACCGTGGTGACCGCCTGATGTGCTGGTCTCACGTCTGGGGTCTGGGGGACTAACCATTCCTGGAGCCTCAGAGACAAAAACACAGAAAATAAAGTCAGAAGCAACGAATGAGACTGACGTTGTAGCCAAAAAAACAAGCCTTGAATTGGGGCCTGGCAAGGCCATGTGATCCCTATCTGTGCTCAGAGTGTCTCTGTTCCAAGAGACAATGGGACCCACAACACAGGAGCCTAGTGCCCAGGCCAGGCTGCTACAGAAAGGGGGACTTTTCAACTCAACTCCTGAGACTTGTAGCTGGGGTCAAATCAAAGGCAAGCCTCTCCTGACAAGAAATGATCTCTCACCAAAGGTGCTGCTTCTGGTTGCCTGCTCAGTCCCAGCACCCAGTGTCTGCACAGGAAGCCTTGTTATCTGTGTTTCACATGGGGCCTCAAAGTAATTTCCTGGGAGATGAGGATTTCCTGTCAAAATAGCATCATAAAATTAATTCAGACAATGTGTGTACGAGAAAAGAAATTTATGAAAGTGCATAAATAATTTTTTTAAAAAAACAAACAAAAAAAAAGCTTGTACCGGCAGGGAAGATCGTTGGATAGTCATTTTCCAAACCATCCATCTCCACATAGGATAGTCCCTGACATGGATATAGTGTTCACATGCGTTCAAGAAAGTCTTTAACCATAATCCTTTCCAGCAGTAATGTTTTAAATATTTAGCTCTGGGATAAAGAGAACTTTAAAACAGAATGACAGCAACAGAAATCATAATGCTGGTTGTCAGGGAAAAAGTCAGGCCTGGGAATGGGGCCTGTGAGAATTTCTGGTAATGAAATGTTCTCAGTCTTTACAGGTGAATGTTCCATGGGCACATACAGATAGATTGATCAAAACCATTCTTCGGTTCACTGCACAGTGTGTAATGTTATTGTATATACAGAAGATCCCTTGAACCACACTTTTCTGAACTTCATGGGTCCAGTTTTACGTGGAATTTTTAATAGATACTAACTACAGACTTTGTTGCTCATCTGGTAAAGAATCTCCCTGCAATGGGAGAGATCTGGGTTGGATCCCTGGGTGGGGAAGATATGCTGGAGGAGGAAATGGCTACCCACTCCAGTATTCTGGCCTGGAGAATTTCATGGACTGCATAGGGGTCACAAAGAGTCAGACACAACTGAGTGACTTTCACTTTTGACAGTACTACACAATTGTGGCTGGTTGAATCTGCAGTTGTGGAATCATAAATAGAGAGGGTTGACTGAATTTAAACAAACTTTTACAGCAGGGTTAGGGCTGGGTCAGGGCCCCCAAACTTCACATTATTCAAATGTTTACTATGATTCATATGCCAATAAAGTGGATGTAAAAATGCCTGAGGGTAAGTTACATGCTCTGTTTATCTCATGTATTGAACCAACAAACACAATTACTTTCTTTCCTGTGACATCTGAAGATCTCAAGTATAGGGTTTGAAGTCACAATGTGTCCATATCCACTTTAGTACCTATGAAGCACTAGAGGAGGCTGTCAGAGATTAGAAAAGCCAGTCAAGAAATTCAGAGTCGTGTTACCTGCCGGGGACTTCATGCTACTAAATTCTTGTGAAACCCTGGAAGATGGTGTCCTGAATAATACAATATGTCAACTTGACTCTGCCATGGATATTTAGCTTTATTTTTCAGGGTGCTCCTAAAAGGGGTATTTTTGGAAAAGGTAACATGTGAATAGGTAAATTTTAATAATAGATTAGATTAGCATTTTAATTGGTAAAGCAGATGACCCTCCATAAGGTAGGTGGGCTTCATGAAACCAGGAGAAGAGATGAACAGACAAAAGAACTCTGATCCTCCCCCAAGTAAGAGATAATTGTCAGCTAACGGCCTTCACACTGGGCCACTAGTTCTTCTGCTTTTGAACTTAAACCTCAGTTCCCCCTCAGTCTCTAGAAGCACCAGACCAGGCTGCAGCTTTCGCACTTACCAGTCTTAACAACAGTGTGAGCCAATTGCTTTAAAACATGGATGTGTGTATGTACTTGTGTGTGTGTGTGTGTATTATTTATTCTTGTCGGGGACAGTTTTGGGGGGCAAAGATCACAAGAGATGAGGACAGACTTGAATCAAATACCTTGCTCTAAAAGAATGAAATATGAGATGTGGGCAAGTCAGTTCCACTCAGATGTGTAAACAGGGAAAATATTACCTACCTAGGATGATCTTTGGGAGCATTAAAACACAGCAGAGGAAGAATTTCTCGGAGAGTCTATCAGATCTATCTAGGCCTGGAAGGCAGGCAGTCACCCTCACCACACTTCCTGAGCTGGGGTAGGAGAGTTTTTGTGCCAGAGGCACATGATCACGCAGGGCTGTGTCTTGGCTGCTGGCACAGAGATACACGGCTGAGTCCGTCAGCTCCAAGGAGCTCAAGTTCAGCTCAGAGCGAGAGTCACTGAACTGTTTTGCTGAGAATCGATCCGGGAGCTGTGCTTCTCCCCTCACTTCCTGCCTGTAATACTCAACGAGGAGCCAGGGGCCCTGGCCCAGGGCCTGTTGGTACCAGTACAGAGAGAGGTGTCCAGAGACAGGGGAGCATCCCAGTGTCACTCGCTGTCCTCTTGCTTTAATCAGGTATCTTGGGGTTTGGGTGACTCCAGCATCCACAAGGCCTGTGGGGGAAGAAGCCTGGGGCTGAGAAAGAACGCAGGAGAGAACCCGATGGTGCCTTGGTTTCAGGCAAAGTCAGGCTAGGAACACAGACTCTGTCCTGTGCCAAGGACCCACCTGCTGCCAGGAGACAAAGAGCCACACAGCAGACGGGGCTGCAGCCCATGACAGGAGGGGCAGAGCAATCTGGCTTCTCCTTGCTCAGAGCTCTGCTTCTCTGAGAGCTGGGGTTCTGGGCCTCTGTCCTCTGATTGGAGGTGAGGCAGTGATGTCACTGCTTTGATGCCATTGCCTCTGCTGGTTCCCGGGAATCTGACCTCTCTTTCCAGGTCAGCTGACCCAGGAACGCTGCTCTGTCCTGCAGGCTCTTAGGTGACGTGTGAGCTGGACTGCTGGTCTGGGCGAGGCTGGGTTTATGCCCAACACCCTTCCCCGTGGCTCCCTCGCTTCTCTCATCATGCTGGTGTTTCTCTTTTCTGTTTCTTTGCTACCAAATCCCAGCTCCATACACTTCACTTTTTCTGCAACCTCAGAGGCTCCTTCAGCATTGCATAGTTGAAGTTCATGGCTCCCAGCTAGGACAGCTAGCCTGCAAATTAGCACCTATGCTAGTCAGGCTTCTAGAGATTAAAACCCCAAATGAAACTTTCTCTTAACCCTCCTGGTCCCACGCACTAGCACTGTCCCCTTGCTCTGCCCCAGAAACTTCTGGAGTTTGGCAGTTCCACAGCGTCCCCATGAGGTATGCATGGAAACCAAGATTGTCTGCCCAGATTCAATAGTCATGGGATGTGTTCATATTAGAAAATACTTCACAGCTTACCTATCGCGCTGTGTTTTTGTTTGTTTTTTTTTCTAAAGAACGTACAGGCAATTAGAAACACAAACTCACAAACCAGCCTGCCTTAGCAGATTTATTATTCTGTATTTCAAGAGAAAACAAAGGTGTTCATTCAGGAAATATTTAATACTTTGACTTTTAGAAGATTGTGATGAGGGAATTGCTGCAAACTTGGGTTAGTTTTCGTTGGTGGTAGTGGTGTTCAATTGCTAACTTGAGTCCATCTCTTTGAGACCCCTTGCATCACAGCACACCAAGCTCGCCTGTTCTTCACTGTCTCCCAGCGTGTGCTCAAACTCATGTCTGTTGAGTCGGTGATGCTATCTAACCACCTCCTTCTCTGCCACCCCCTTCTCCTTTTGCTCTCAGTCTTTCCCAGCATCAGGGTCCAGGCTATGTCGATGCTACAGACAGGCCGTGGTGGAGACACACTCACCGCTCGTCCCTCCCTCTGCTGAGGGGCCACAGACGGGTCACAGGTGACTCATCACTGACTGCGGGGGCGTTCTCTCTGAGGGCCCCAGGAAGCCTGCTCAAACAGGACCACTTCGGGATCATTACGAGGTTCCCTGGGTGATGGGCAAGGACATGACCCAGATGAGGGAGGAGCAGCAAGGCTGAAGTAGAGAAGGGTCGGAATGAGGGCCCTTAGGTGAGACGGGAAAGACCCCACATCTGCGGAAGTTGGACAAGAGCAGAGACCACACAAGGGCCAGCCTGGGGCAGAACCTTCCACAGCGAAAGGCATGTGCTGCCCGGGGAGAGACAAGAGGGTCTAGATGTACCTGACTTCCCAACACCCTTCCCTCCTGGAGGCCTCATGTTCAGACTGATACTAGGAGTCAGAGCTGGCTAGCATCTTTAGGCTCACACTGCAGCTATGGTGAAGAGACAGAAAGTGAGAGCGAACCCATGTCCATGAGGCCCTGTTGTCAGGTCTGTGCCAGCCAAGATCAAAACTGCAGGCTATACTGCCAGTGTGTGTCTGTGGGCTCCGAGTCTCCAGGTGCTAGGAGCCTGCAAGGGGCTCCCCATGTTCCAGGCTGCAGGGCACTCATCTGCCTTTTAGCACAGGGAGGAAGTGGCCCTGCAGCGCTGTGGAGTCACTGCTGGCGCAGAAGTACACAGATGTCTGGGAGCGGTTGGCAGACTTCAGTGTGAGAGGGAAGTTCTCTGTGCTTGGTCTGGAGACGCTGTACCCATCGGGCACGTCTCCTTTCTCCCCGCCGGGGGGGCCATCTGAGTAATAGATCAGCCTCAGCCCGTGTCCCGGGTCTTGTCGGTACCAGTACATATAATCATGGTTCAGATCCTGAGTACATTTCAGTGTCGCGCTCTCTCCTGTCCTCACGACCTGGAATCTGGGGTCCTGGGTGACACCAGCGTGGACCGCCCCTGTGGAGAAGGAGGACCGATGCTGCAGTCACAGCGGACATGCTCAGTGCTGGCACCCCAAGGGGACCCTGCCCCCTGGGACTCACCTGCCTGCAGGAGACAGAAGACCACACAGCCCAGGAGGCAGGGGCTCATGGCGGGGGCGGGGCAGGCGGAGGGCCCTCTGGTCTGAGTGTGGATGAGAGGGGAGAGGGGCTCTGCAGGCAGTCCTTCTGAGATGTCACCGTCCCTGCCAGGCCCCAGAGCCGACCTGCCACTCAGGGGGCCACGCCCCTTCCCCCTGAGGCTCAAATCAGAAGTGAACCTGAGAAAACAGTTCAGAACAAGGAGACCCATCCAGATCAACGGACATAAGCTCACAAATTGCTGTAACATTTCAGTAAATGTTAAAGATTTTTTCTGTAAATGTTAAACTGATTAAATATTTTTTAAGTTCTAGTTCACAGACAAGTCTTCATTAACATGTACATTACTTCTATTTATCTACATATTTCCGGAGTTTTGAATCCTGGGGAATCCTTCTGGCGTCCTCCTGTCCTTTATGATATGTGGCCCAATAGCACTTCAAGGCTCCATTTCTGTAACATTGACCGCAGTCCTGAGAATGTCCCTCCACCTACCATGTTTCTCCAGGTTTCTGCTGCCAATCTCATCACAGACTCATCAACATTTGAGGAATTCTTTGGTCTATTTCTAATCAATTCACTGACAGACGGTCCACCGGTCAAACGCAGGTACAGCCCCTCCATGTTCGCACGTGTTTCCCGTGTTGGGGGGAAGGGAGCTAGTATAGCTCCCTCAGGCCTGTGACCCAGCTTTCTGGGTGGAGAGAAGCGGGGTGCCCAGCACAGGATGTCGTTTTGGCACAAAGGCATACAGATGTAGGAGGGACGTGGAGGGAGGTCCAGAGGCCAGGGTAAATGGAAAAGGCTCTCTTTTTATTTGAGACATTCGTCCCATGGGAATACCTCCTTGTGAAGTGTGGCTGCCATTCACTGAATAGCAATTCATATCATAGAGCCCACAGTTGTATCCTGTTACACACAATACAACACATATATGTAATTTGCTTGTACACAGGAATATCTGTGAGTGAAGGGACCACAGGTTTAGAAAACAGACTTAAGCCAGAATACAAGCTATAACATTTATGAAGGATGAGATCTGGGCAACTCACGATCCCTCAGAATTACAAACAGTTAAAATGATACTTATCTTAATGACCTTAGTGAGCATTTAAACATACCAAGAAGTAAATGTCTACGAAAGTCTGTCGCTTTACCAGAGACTGGGCTTGGCAGGCTGGCAGCCGACACCCTGCCCACCACTTCCTGAGCTGGGGCAGGAGTGTTTTTGTCCCAGAGGCACCTGATCACGCAGGGCTGTGTCTTGGATGCTGGCACAGAGATACAGAGAGCTCCAATGGATACACTTTCCCATCATAATACTGAACAAGGAACTGGGGACCCTGGCCCAGGGCCTGTTGGTACCAGTACATAGAAGAGTGTCCAGATTCAGGGGAACACATCAGAGTCGCTTGCAGCTTTCTTGATTTAATCAGGTACTAGGGGATCTGGGTGACTCCAGATTCTACAAGGCCTGCTGGGGAGGAGACAAGGAAGCTGAGGGCAGAGCATAGCGAAGCCTCCTGCTGCAGCCCTCATCTCCGGGCTTCTATCGCAGGGAGGCAAAGCATCTCAGAAGCTCCTGCGCTGTGTCCAGGACTCACCTGCTCCCAGGAGGCAGAGAGTCACACAGCAGAGGAGCCTGGCGACCATGGCAGCATCAGGAACCCAAGACTGCTACTGGCTGGGGGCGGGGCTCCTGGGGTGAGTGGTGTAAGTGCTGACCCTCCTGCTTCCCTGATTGGACCATTGCCTATGATGTCATGCTCTGTGTCCCTGCAGGCTGTTTCCTGATCCACTGGACCCCTGGCCAGGTCCCATGCTGGGCTCCTCTATGCCCTTCCCTGTCCTGCACAGCCCCTCAGCAAAGGGTGGGTGTGAGGTGAGCACTGCCCCCATATGCCCATAACATGGCTTTTTCTTCTCTTCCTGTCCCTGCCTGACACTCCTCACCCAGTCCTCACCAGCCACACTAATCCATCACCCACCATTCCCCATGCTGCTCCAGGAGGTGACCCCCTGGGCACATTCTGAGGCCAAAGGCTTGTCCCCACTCACCTGGGCAGTGAGCTGTCTGGGCTGGGTCCATGGGCTGTGTCCATGTGTCTGGACCACTCAGGAAACTCAAACCTACTTTCTGATGCAGGCATGTAGCCAATGTTCCCCTAAGCTGCCCTCCCCAGGGTGACTCTCAACCCCTCCCAGGGCACCCAACCTACCATGGACCCACAGTGCCTCCTAGTGGCCAATGGTTTCATAGATCTGTGCCTTTCATCTAAAACAAGAATACAAATTCCCCACACTCCACACTTTCAACCCCTACACACACACACACACACACACACACACACACATACACACACCCCTCATCTGCTGCCTTCCCAGCCTGGCTGAACTAGGGTTGATCTTCAAGTCTAGTCTTAGCCTGTCGAGGTAAAACACTGCATGATCAGACATTTCTACTAAGAAGGAACAATTCTTGCTCCACTATAATGACAGTAGTTACCTAAAATGGAGTAATACAGGCAAAAGAAATAAGTACTCTCATGATCACAATTGAAGCCAGCCCGAACACCTGCATTCAAGACCTCCTTCTGATTAATCACATCCATATATTTCCAGATTTCATATTTAAATTACCCATTCCCAAAATCTAGCCAGTGCATTTTATTAAGAGGCTTTACATGTATTAACCTATTTATTTCCTATGAACTTGTAAAATCTTGATATAATAATATACCATGGAGGAAATATTTTGACTGAGAAGATCTCTGAGGGAAATGGTGGAAACCTGGTCCAGGTTAATTGAGATGCTAGAAAGAGGAGCAGGCCCTTCCCTGTGTCATGGGAAGGGCCATGACCCAGATGAGGGGAGAGCAGTGTGCCTGGAGCAGAGAGGGCAGGGGAGCTGAGGCCAAGGCAGTAAAGGGGGACGGACCCGCCCCTCCGGTGGGCAAGAGCAGCGAGCACTTGAGAGCTAGGCTGGGGGAGAAACCTCCAGAGAGACAGCAGTGAGGTGCTGGGGAGACACAAGTGGGTCTAGATGTATCTGATTTACTAATATTCTTCCCTCTTGGGGGTCTTGAGCTGATGAGTAACAGTCAGAACTAGTCAGAACTGGATGCTGTCCGAAAGACAGAGACGAATGGTGGACACGTGTCTCCAAGTCCCAGGGGTCAGATCCAGGCCTGTTCAGATCGCACATCCAGGGTCACAGTGCTGGCACGTGGTCCCCAGGGCATGAGGCTCCCAGGGCTAGGAACCTGCACGAGGCCCCCTGTCTTTCTGCACAGAGAGCAGGTGGCCAGGAAGCGCCGTGGAGTCACTGCTGGTGCAGAAGTACACGGAGGTCTGGGAGCGGTTGGCGGACTCCAGTGTGAGAGAGAAGTTCTCTGTGCTTGGTCTGGAGATGCTGTACCCGTCTGGCATGTCTCCTTTCTCCGTGTTAGGTGGGCCATCTGAAAATGGATCAGCCTCAGCCCCAGTTCCGGGTCTTGTCGGTACCAGCACATATAGTTATGACCCAGATCCTGAATACAATGAAGTGTCGCGCTCTGTCCTGTCCTCACGACCTGGAATCTGGGGTCCTGGGTGACACCCGCGTGGACCGCCCCTGTGGAGAAGGAGGACTGATGCTGCAGTCACAGCAGACATACTCAGTGCTGGCACCCCAAGGGGACCCTGCCCCCTGGGACTCACCTGCCTGCAGGAGACAGAAGACCACACAGCCCAGGAGGCAGGGGCTCATGGCGGAGGTGGGGCAGGTGGAGGGCTCTATGGTCTGAGTGTGGATGAGAGGGGAGAGGGGCTCTGCAGGGAGTCCTTCTGAGATGTCCCTGTCCCTGCCAGGCCCCAGAGCCGACCTGCCACTCAGGGGGCCACGCCCCTTCCCCCAGAGGCTCAAATCAGTAGTGAAGCTGAATGAACTGTTCACATGAGACCGACCTAGCCAGCATATTAAAAACCAGAGACATTACTTTGTCAACAAAGCTCCCTCTAATAAAATCTATGGTTTTTCCACTAGTCATGTATGGATGTGTGAGTTCGACTATAAAGAAAGCTGAGTGCTGAAGAATTGATCCTTTTGAACTGTGGTGTTGGAGAAGACTCTTGAAAGTCCCTTGGACTTCAAGGAGATCCAAGCAGTCCATCCTAGAGAAATCGGTCCTGAATATTCATTGGAAGGACTGATGCTGAAGCTGAAACTCCAATACTTTGGCCACCTGATGCAGAGAACTGACTCATTTGAAATGACTCGGATGCTGGGCCAAATTGTAGGCTGGAAGAGAAGGGGACAACAGAGGATGAGATGGTTGGGTGGTATCACCAACTCGATGGACATGTGTTTGAGTAAATTCCGGGAGGTGGTGATGGACAGGATAGCCTGACGTGCTGCAACCCATGGGGTCGAAAAACGTCAGACACGACTCTGCGACTGAGCTGAACTGAACAGTTCCCAACAGGGAGACCTATCCAGCTCAATGAACATAAGCCTTACAATTTGTTGGAAACTTTCCCTAAAACTGTTCACAACTTTATCTACACTTTATTCCAGAAATAGCTCTTCATTAATACATATATTCAGTTTATTGATCTCTAGTTTATTATTTCTGTAGTTTTGAATCTCAGGGAAATTCCTCAGGGCTTCCTGCTGCCCTTTAGGACTCACATGTCCCAAATCATCCCTCATGTTTCTACCTTGTTTAACTGACAACAGTCCTGTTCATGTCCTGCCACCCACAACGATTCTGGACCAGTTTCCCCAAACTTAGGGCAGGCTCATCAACACTTGAGGAATCCTTGGGCTCTCTTTCTTATTAATTCACTGACTGACAAGTTGCCTGTCAAATGCAGGCTCAGCACCGTCATGTTCAC